CATGGATTTGTTTCTCTAGTCTACCCAGACTAATATAATCATCCTCCACTTTGCTAAATAAATCATAGTAAATTCATCGATGCAATTATGTTATGATAATGGGATATGAGAATATGGATTATGGATTACAGACTATTATGTTAAACTATAGACTAACTGAAACATTTTTTGCAAAGTGGGATTATTAACTCATGAAAAAAAATTCCACTTGCAAACGATTCTTGGAGGAACTGCTGCTCATTCTATAGAGCGATGCTTCCCAAAGTATTGTTTTAAGAATTCTATCTTCTATGAAAATCTAAGTACATTACACTACTAATTGCAGTAGTATCATAAATATGAGGTAAAACTGGAAAACTATTAATAATAACCATGCTAGAGTGAAATTTCTTAATATGGCTCTTCTATCCAACTGTCCCTAAACGAAACCAAACCAAACTAAACTCACTGTCATCGAGTAGATGCTGACTTGCGCCAGTGAGTTTCCAAGACTGCAGGTGTTTGTGCGAGAGAAACCCCCTTCTTTCTCCTGCGGAGCAATGCTTTGATTTCCAACTGCAGATTGCAGCCCAATCCATAGCCACTACAGCCAACAGGGCTCCCAGTACCTCCCACAAATGATTGGGTGGAAGTATGCACACAAGGTATGGGTAGCACTAACAGAGGGGATTGGTCAGTTTGCATTACCAACCCCCTTCACCTCACCCCCACCACACCCCTGCCCCACTACAAGGATGAGCCATCTTTGAGGCAGCATAAGAGAAGAGAGAAATCCCAAGGACCTCAGAAGAGCACATTCAAGGTCTCTCTGTCCGACTGGAGAGAGATGGGGCAATCACTTGGCTGAGAAGCTGCGAACTGGAGAGATCAACTTGGCCGCTGGCTGAGGAGGCCACTGATTATATCCTTCCGGTTTGCTGATCCTGACTTGTGATAACCTATTGACTTCCCTAATAAACCCCTTACCTGTGAGTATTGTCTGTGAGTTCTTTGAGGCCATTACGACAAATTATTGAGCCCAACATAGATATAGAGTGGTTTGGTTGGAATTGTTGGTTTCGAAAGAGGTAGAGCAGGACGAACCGTGGAGATAGGCCTGACTCTTGCCTTGTCGCAACAGAGAAACCACAGGAGATCAGATATGATGCTCCATTGCTGTTTATTGAAATGATAGCTAACATTAGAGCACTTGCTATATAACTGACAGCACTTTAGAGACAGTAACTCATTTAATCTGCATAACTATGTGTGGTAATTAATCTTACGTGTCAGCTCAGCTCGGCTATGATTCTCAGTCGTTTGGCAGCCCCAAGGAATCACATTCCATTTTGTGATCTGATGTAAGCGGCCAATCAGTTGGTCAGGGAGTTAGCTTAGGGGTGCGACCTGTGTATAAATAAATACTCTGACATCTTCTCACTCTACCTTGCAATCTTCTCCTTGTCTGACGTCCAGCCTATTGCCTGACTTGCTGATTTTGAATTCGCCCACCTTTGTAAGTCTGCGAGCCAGCAGAGGTCTTCCGTTTGACATCTGACTTGCAGATTTGGAACTTGCTAGCCCCATAATTGTATGAGGCATTTCCTTTAAGTAAATGTCTATATATATGCCACTGGTTTATTTCTCTACAGAATCCAGATTTAGGTAACATTCCATTTTTGGAAAAAGAAGAACAATCTCTATTGAGTCCACTCCCATTGGCAGCAACCTCATGAGTTCAAGGGGCCTGTGTGTTCCATAGCATTTGGGCTTTTTTAATAGTTTTATTGACACATAATCCACAGATCATACAACTCAATCGTTCCATCCGAATAAGAAAAGTTGTATAATCGTTCCCATGTCAATTTTAGAACATTGTCTTCTTTCTTATAATCATTGTTATGAGCTTGCCACTTCCCCCCAACCTTCCCTGCCATAACCCCCAAGATACCATTAATCCAGTTACAGAATCTATAAATTTACCTAGCCTGGATTTCATACACCGAAAAACATATCAAGAAAAAAAAATGACAACAAAAACTAACAACTATAACAAAGCAAAACAGAGAAACCTCAATCAAAAGAAAGTGCATTGTACACCTCTTCTTGATCTGGCTGAACTATTGGATTATAAATGTATTATATGCCAATAAAACTATTGAAAAATAAATTAAATTTTATAATTTGGAAATATCAAGCTCTGCATCACCAATTAGACAACAAGTGGACATGTGCACTGTTGGGTACACCTGCAGGTATGAAATGTCAATAAAATTTGAAAAGTGGAAAATATTAAAAACTGCAACCAATAGGTCAAAGAAGTGATCAAATGATAAGGTGCTAAATTTTAACATAATTGCATCTGCAATAATCCACTTTCCAATGCACTCTGCATCCATAGGGCTGTTCATGGGTTATTTTTCAGAAGAAGATTGTCAGAGGACTGCAAGGTAGTAGGACCCAAATACCCATCATCCTAGGCCTATACCAACACTGGGAACATTGGGAGGTTTGGGAAATGACATAATGACCCATGAGAGAGGTATATATATATGTTCATAGGCAACATGCTGTTATTGATGGCTAATACCTTTTTCTCCACCCGTTTCCCTAATGATCAAGACTCATTTGTGTTCCTGTGGGATGACCTACTATGTGCTTCTAGAAGGCTATTTCAATTCCCCTACATACGGCTCTACTTGCAACAAACCCAACTATCCACAGAAGTACTTGCCATTCAATATACTGATGATTCCCCATTGCATGCCCAACTAAGGAACCAGTTGAACAGGCCCTATATACATAAAGTTATAGACATTGTGACAAGCACAGACTGAGCCATCAATTTGATACAGTCCAGGGGCTGCTCAACAAGTTCAGTTCCTGGAAGCCACCTGGGCCAGTAGTCAAAGGGGTATTCCTGCCTAGATCAAAAAAGTCAATGTCCTTAGCCAGCTATGGGGAAACCAGCAACTGTATGGTTATGATATACAAAGATTATAGCAAAGTCATAGAGAATCAGAGAGTAAAATACAGAAATCAGACACACTTCATGATTAGCAGGCTCACCGCAGCTCCTCTTGGTGGTACACATGGAGGTGGGAAATGAGAGGGCAGGACAGAGCTCTCGTGACAGAGCTCTCGTGAGGTTTTATTTCTAACCAAAGCTTATATATCTTCAGGGGCATGCAAGACCCCTGATTACAGATAATGACCTACATCACAGGAAGGGGTTGTAACATAGGCAATACAAGCAACAGGAGGGGATGGATGACCTAGGGGTGTACACACACTAGTAAAGGGAGGGAGTAGGGGTACATATGTGGCAAGATGGGCGGACTCTAGACTCGATATAGTAGCCTGACCTTAGTCATCCTCAAGGGGCCCCCGGCTTGCCTTCGGGCACTCCTTCCAGGGCACAATATCAGAAGGGAGTGGGTGGGCCCTACTTAGGGTGAGTCAGACTATCCAGTCTGGTTGCTCTGGATGGCTGATACCCTTAAGGAGAATATCCTCTGACCTACTTTCACTGACCTCCGAGTGTACAGTCATTGACCATGTGTAGCAAGCAGCGTCTTGGGTTTGGCATATATTTGAGAGAGACAACTTAGGAGAAATCTTTCTTTATCCAACAGGTAGCCCTACCAATAATAAAGAGGCCTGACAGTTAGTAGCCCTGTTTGACTACATGAAACAAACAGTATGTGTCACATTTGGAATTCATTTCATTCTGCAAGGTAAATAAGTGAATGAGTTAAGGCTACCTGCAAGGCAGTCACATTTGAGTGGGATTCCCAATAACAGTAGGAACTCCAGGCCATGCAATACACCATAGAACAGATCCTGCCAGTAGGGCCAATGGAGCCTGCCAGCCCTACAGAACTATAAGTTTCAGTGATTCCTACACATGTGAATTAGAGTCTATGGAAACAAGAGGATGCCACCAGGGTTCACTAGCCTGTTGGGTTTGGGACACATAGAGTACCTGAGGTGGCCACCAGGTACGTTGATCTAAAGAGGTCTAAAGAAAGAGCTTAACACTTGTCTTAATGGAAAGTGAGTACAGTACTTGACCATTGAAGACCAGAGCTGCCCACCCTCAGGTGGGCGTTCACTAATCCCATTAACAAAACCGGGGAGGCTCAGCAGACTCCCATTATTAAATTTTTTAATCATTATATTAGGGGCTCATACAACTCTTATCACAATCCAT